TCGGCTTCGCCCCGGCCGGTCTCACCTGGAGAGCACGGAGTCTGGGGACCCGCGGGGGACGGCGAGAAACGGGGCTGGGCACGGCCGGACACGGGCTGGGCCGCGCCTTCCCCCCGCTGAAACTGGAGGGCGCGGAGGGGGCGAGGACTCGGCGCAGGGCCGCGGACGGGCGCGGTGAGCTGCGGGCTCCGAGGGGCCCCGTGCCCTGCCTGCCTGCCTGCCTGGGTAGAGCGGGGAGAGGGTGGCCTGGGGAACAGGTGGCCCTGGAGGATGCGCCCGGGGTGGAGCGCGCGGGCGGGAGTGCCCCCGAAGGAGCAGAGGGCCCCGACGCCGCCCTGGTGCCCAGGCGGGTGGCCCAGGGCGCGGTCGCCTTCAGCGCGAGGGGAGCCGCGCGCCGCCGCCGCCAGTCCCTGGCGAGGACCGGGCCAAGCCGCAGACGCGCGGGCTGTGACCGCGGGCCGCGGAGGGCTCGCGCTGGCGAGGGCTGGGCGCGAGGGAGGAGCGCGATTCCAGAGCGGCTGGGTGATCTCCCCGCTCCCTTGGTGGCCCCCTGTTTTCACGCTTTGTTTGTCTTCTTTCTTTCCGCGTCGCTGCCTTGCTCTTTGCCCCTGTCTTGCTGGGGGGCGGCCTCACAAAGGTGCCCAGCGCGACTCAACTTCATTCGTTTTGCGCCAGGCCTCGGGAGAGAGCGCCGAGAGGAACGGGCGGGGAGACCTGGCAGAAGTAGGGTCTCCGGGACGGAGGGGAGCGTGCAGCTCCGAAATTGGACAGCCAGCCGAATGGTCCGTTGTGTCACTTTTCAAGTTTTAGAATTCAGGGGCAGATTTCTCCCCTCAGCACGCAGATGAAGACGCGCTGAATGAGACGCCTGTTATTGTCTGCGGGATATGTTGGTACCCTAATGGGCGCGCGGCAGAAAGGTGTCATCGTCGTACACCTCGCCGCCAATTTCATTAATGACTCCGCTCTTTCTATTATGGTACACAATTTCCCGTCTTACATCTTTAGCATAAAAGGCTTAAAGGAGAAAAGAAGGTAATAAACTTGAAAAGGTAAGTCAGACCGTCTTACTAACTTTGTGAAGCGCTGTGCTCTCCAGCACCTGAGCCCGATGCACTTCTGCAGACGCGGGTGTTCACCAGCTATGAGCCTGAATCGTGCGCTACCAGACTCTGGAGTAAGGTCTGCCATTAATTGCGTTTTATCAACGTGAACCTTTTTAATAAACCGTTCCAATACGTTTTTTATTTTGTTTCTGTGAGAGCTATTCCCTTGGGCCATTCCCACAACATCATAATTTTTTTGCTCAGTTCCATTATTTTGGGAAATTCCATAAAAAATCAGACCCTATTCCGTTAATTTTAATAAAACATTTTTATATTTTGTCATTTCTAGAAGACAGTGTAAAGATTTTATTCATGCAAATTTAGTTATAACCAATTTGTGACTGGTAACTTTTAGCTCTCAGTTGCTATTTCACATAAATAGAAGCCAACGGTTAAGACAAATGGACAGGAACCTTCCACTGTCTTATCTCCTTAGGGAAGGTTTTCAGGATGAGGGAATAAGACACAGAGCAACTCCGGAGTATCAGTTCCCAGGAGAATGGTTAAGGGCATGTGGAGTGGTTTTTAATTGAGAGTATATTTGCAGTATTTTTAAACTAAAAGTGGCACATCTAGGCCTTCCAAAAACAGCATGGAAGAGAAACTATTCTACATTAAGAAACACGGTGCAATAGTTCCTTCAAAGAAGATAATTGTTTAGGAGAAATTTTTCATTGCCCCAAGTATTACACTGCATCTTTTGATAGATATGGCATTCAGCTTTTGAAGCAGGAATGCTTTTCTAAATGGACACCATGCAACATTAAATGAGTGTTTATTGAAGCTGTAATATTTGCCCATCAGAATCTTATATTGGCAAACTATTGCTGGATTGAGCATCTGGACAAATTAGCGGTTACATTCTCAATGCTGCATCTTCAACCAAACAGGAGCTTTGTATTATTGCCTTGAATCTGCTAAGTATAGAATTTTTCACTCACTTTCTATTTTTTGTTTTATGATCTTCTCCCCCATAAAACACAAAGACTGGGGCCTACTACATTATTTCCTATTTTTAAAAAATCTAGTTGACTCTGAAATCTAGACTGTGTAGTAAGAAAGACCCACTCTTCACTTCATAAATCCAGCTGCAGAGTTTTTATGTATTTTTCTCTTAGACTGGAAGTTACTGCACAAAAGTCTATGGAAGCCTCATGTAGGCCTACACACAGAAGGAGCAGCAGAAAATTTAGTTAATCATCCAAATATGCACTGGCAAAAAACAATGTAATGGAAAATGGTTGATAAAAGGTACACAGTAAAAACTGAAAAGACCAAAACTAATAACTTTTTTTCTCACTTTCTCAAGTGTCTTGGACTTCGTGGATACATGGCCTTCCATGAGAGGGAGAGAGAGATCATCTATGGATACTGTCCTCCTGGAGATAGCTACCGCTTCACATTCTTCAAACCCTACAAAACACCATAGTCATCGAGCATATTTTCATAAAAATGTGGAGACGTTGCTGATCAGATTCACCTCTGCATGATCTTGACTCATTCCCACAGGCTGCAGAGAACACACACTCTGTCAGGTGGCTGTCCCTGGACTACCACAAAGCATTGTTGCTAGGATCTCTCTCTCTCAGTAGTGAGTGTGGGGAAGAAGATATGGAAGCAAGCCCTTGAGTTTTGTTGCCATGCACGTTAGACTTACATGGTTAGTGTGCCACCATCTTCACAACAAATACGTGATACCTGAAAGCAGAGAACTTGACAGTTAAAATCCTGTATTCCACTGATGGATGAGAGAAATACATATCCGTCAAGGTATTGTCGCTTTTATCTTGACAGGAGGTATTTTATTTGAGGTGTGTGAAGTGGTAGAGTATAATTCCTAAGGATCCCTAGTAATTTGACAAAAAATTTCTATGGCGCCCGCTTTAGCAGCACAAATACTAAAACTGGAAGGACACAGAAAATTGGCATGGGCCTGCACAAGGATGACGTACAAACCCGTGAAGCATTCCATATTGCAAAAAAATTTCTATGCTATCCAAGCAGGTGGCGGATATTTTGTATAGCAGGCCATGCTGTGTCATGCCTTTAGTATAAAATTGATATTATTTCAACATTGCATATCTTTAAAGATAGGGATTTGACCGGTCCTGTTCTAAATGGTTTATATGGAGTTGGAATTTACATACACTGGTTTTCCTTCCTTTTCCTTATTTACACGTCTTTAAAGTTTTCACTGCAGTGACCCGTTGCCTAAGAACATGACTTTCTAGGCATGACCATAGCCGGTTAGAGGAACCGATGTCATACGCTGCACAAGCTAGGTGAGGACGGTCCAAAGTAAAACAGCGGACGTTTCAGGTTGAGTTCATTCATCGCTCCAGTGTAGCAACACCTCTTTCTTTTACACAGAGATTAGTGTGTCTTTGCTACGATGTCGTACATGGTGGTGAATGAATCTTGTACTATCAGGATACTTGCAAGTTAACTTTTCGTTAGTTTAAACCAAAAAAACACAAATGTGTAACTTTAAAACACTGAGGGAGCAATTTCAAAAGTGAAGATTTTCATGTCGTATTCCAATTACATT